ATTTATCCAGTGATACAATATTGGCTAACATCAACACTTGAGCGGGGTTACTACAGTAGGATGCGCATGCTACCAAGCATATTGACAAATACTAATACCAGCAATTATTATTATTATTATTATTATTATTGTTATTACGGCCGTGCTATATCTTGAGACATTTCATTCGAATATCTACTCCAGTGCATCATGTGGAACATCGAAACTAGACATTAGGAGAGAAAGCCATCCATCCAGCCATATACATACTTCTGAGGCTCTCCAAAGATTTTGAATTGTTTCTGTGAGCCAACAAGGAGAATGATCTGTTTGAAAATCTCCGGGATAATTTTACTATGTTCAGAACATTGATCAAATACCACCGGAAAGCCTTAGGAGTGAAAAGTAGTAAGCGTCTATCTACTGAGATCGTTATTGTGATTACTCTGAGCGTTCGCGATGAGATGCTTCCAAATTGGTTTCAGAAACGAATATTTCAGGGAGTGGAAGTAACAATGATGCACGTCTGGTTGTTGACCCCTTCGAGCCTTCTGAACATTCATCACTAAAAACCGAACTCAAACAGTATAATATGACAATAATTCATGTCTGAGATCAACTTGACTACAGAATACGCTTTATAAAAGTGCCACATTCAATTGGAATGTTCATAGAATCTCAACTTTATCGTACACATACATTCCACTTCAGCCTGTGTTTGCTTTGACAATGAGGTGTCTTGATTTAGTCACATATATTACCGTCTAATAAACGATTCGATTCAACAAAGTCGCACATGAACGATTTAATAAAGTCAGATCACATTTAGTCATAATTGATAAATCCAATTACTCTCATGCTAAATACCGTTGGATCATCAATGTTTGATGCGTCATTTATCTAAAATTTCTAATCGGATGCAAATAGATGCGGACTCGAACATAGTTTCCGATCCAGTATTGATGAGTTGTTCAATGTCACAGTCAATATTAAATTTATCAATATTAAACCATAACTTACATATCAACACTGGTTGATTGCAACGTTGGCTGTGTGAACGAAGCACGTCCATCGATAAGAGCGCTCAGCGCAACTCTACGAAATGGATTTCCATGTTGCTCCTGGATGAACGATACGAAAAGTCTCACGTCCTGATAGAGACTCTGAAATTTTGGCGATAAAGGCGATAAAATAGGATGCATCGCCTTTTTTGCTTGAAACGAATATGATGACTACTTGATCAATATTTTGCATTCCCATCATTATACTTGATTTTTGATCATAAATAAATTCTAGGGCATTGACATTATTAATACTTTTCTAGAACATGAGCATAGAATAGAATCTTTTTGAAGGCACTGAAACTTCTTTAAAATATTTCTGTTCAGCACTCAAAAGCAATACTCAAAGATACAAAATTAATCCAATGATGTTCACGATACTACTGAAACTGAAACTGACCAACTGATCATGCAATAAGCCTGTGTGATACCTTGACATTAAGATAATCAATAAATATAGACTATGACTCCAACAAATGATAAGCATTTGATGTTTTCCCAACTAACGTAAAAATAAAAGTAATATGAGATGAACCATGTTCTCAGGTTGCAGCAGCTCATTCATTGTGTTCATAAGTTTCGATACGACAGGTTTCAGAATCGCATTCACGATTGCACCTTCGATGCCTTTGAGTTTCTCGTTGAAATGATTCCGATATGTCGGTATCTTACAATCCGAAGTAGACGTTCTTCGACGAGGCGAAGAATTGCTTCTGGGGCGAGCTGAACCAGCTGAAACGATTATATTTGGAATACTAGAATGAACATTTCAAAAAACCAGGAACGCATCGATGATTGCAAGGGAATCAGTTGAATTATCAGAGAATTCAAAGCGAAGTCTGAAACACAGGCAAAGAAGAAGCACGAAAACATTCAAAATATTAACCAGCTAAATCGGCCCGACAAAATCCAGTTATCGCATGCATCATATCGATCAATGTCTGCGTGTTTCCCTCTTGAATATGGCTAACAACCATTTGCCCGAAGCCGTCTGGATCCATCCGTTGCATTGTTGCGAAGATTGTCCGCGCCTTCACTCGTAGGAAATCCCCTTGTGCACTACGAATTCCTTCGTTACAACCATGTGGACAGCCCAACCAAAGATAGATTCTGAAAAGTTTTCATAAAATAACTTTTTAACTTCAAATCGAATCGATACCATAATTTTACAAAAATTATTTGAGGAATTCGACTGACAGTAAGATGAAAACATACAAAAAGACAGTCACAGAATGAGGTGGAGTACGATTTTAAAGTTAACTCTGACGATCTTGCTCAATTAGGAATCGTTCTCCGAATTGGTTTGGGAATTCCAAAAAAAACGAATGCAATTGAGTGAGATTAGGTCTGGACAGCAAATGCTCAACAATAATTGAATATTATTTAAAAATTTTTGAAAATTGAAG